GAATTTACTTTGCTACTATTGTTATAACTGGTATACAGACTCCATTAGTGTATGATGATGCTCAAGGTGATGTAATTAGAATTCAACTAGTGACTCTTATGAATTTGATGATGATAACTATAGGAAATGATGATACAGAGACTAAGAGTGGTGAGAACAACCTACCCCGCATATTTTATTACCAACTAACCATTCTTTTGAGAATACTCCTGGGGTGTAAACCCTAAACTTCATTTCTAATAGTACTACAAATGACTTTATTTGCTAAAAATTATGTTTTAGACATAACCATGGTGAACTATTAAATTGATATTATCTAGATCATTAGATAAAGAATGAAGTATCTAGCTGCCAACTATATCTCAATCCAGAGATTATCCAAAATCTCCCAAAGTAAAAGTTATCATATAATCATATTCCAAATATAATATAGGAAGCCTTGAATGATCTTAAATGGACCAAAGTACAATTAAACGTATAACAACATTATAGAAGAACGATATATGGCAACACTACCCAAAGAGAAAAAAATAGTGGGACGTAGATAGATGCTTTTCATTAAACACAATGCATATGGGTCAACAGAGAAGAGACTAGTAGTGAAAATTTTATTTAAACATCTAGTATAGACTACCAAGAGATGTTTCCAATTTAGCGAAGTTGAATATTATTAAATTACTTCTACCTCTTGCTATAAACTTAGATTAACTATTACATCAATTTGATGTAAGAAATATGTTTTTGCATATAAACCTTATGGAAAAAATATACAAGGGGAAAAATATACAAGGTCATTCCACCAGATTTTACTATCTTATCATTAACTAGGTTGTGAATTAGGCATGGTCTACTTATATCTATATAACCGTTAACGTATATATAATATATATATGGTAATATAGCCTATTAATATACTATTTTTTATATTTGGTTTAAAACATAATTGCATGCCCATGATACTTTTAGTATTGCTGCACGTTTAAGAATAATTCAGATGTATATGTTGTATATGGAATGCCATGTTTATACACATGTAGCAAATTTTGGTATTATAATAGTATTTTTTGTGCAACAACACTACGAGCAAGTTGAATAAATAATTTTTGGTGCATCTTTATAATATATTGAGTTTGTCTAACATTTAATATAATTAATTGAAACAAGATGTTGCCAAAGTAACCTCTTTTGTGTAGATTAGCTTATAAAAAATGTTACGATGTTTGATTCATGCAGATGTTAGTCGGCCCAAAAGAAGAGTAAAATTTTGCCGAATTGCAAATTTTTGTGGTGATGACTTATTATTTGGCAGGATTTATTATTAACATTTGATCACTACACTAAGAGTACCACTTACAAGTTGATATTACTGTACAAAGACTTGATATTAATGTTGTGCTAGATAACTTGAGATGTATTCATTAATTATTTAAAATTTAAATATTAATTATTTGGCTTGTTAGGTGAACATATGTGCTTATTTGATTCAATCATATCTGCTACTACTGTGTATGTTAATGCAAATAATATTCTCATATTTAATGTGTCAAATTTTAAGGATTGGAAAGAGAACGTGTTAATCATTCGAGGCTACATGCTCTAGACCTTGTATTAAGAACTGAGTAACCTCCTCCTCTTATTGTTGAAAGTGCTTTTGATTTGAGAAGATACTGTGAGAAGTGGGAACGGTCTAATCATTTGAGTGTAATGATCATTAAACGTGTTAATCTAAAACCCTTTAGAGGGGCAGTATCTGACAAGATTACTAATGTCAGGGAGTTCCTTACTGAAATTGAGAAACATTTTGCAAAAAACGATAATGCTGAACAAGTACGCGTTTAACTAGCTTGATTTTAATAAAGTATACAAGCAAAAGAAATTATTACGGAGTACATCATGGAGACATGTCATATTGCTTCAAAATTTAAGGCACTAAAGCTCGAGTTGTTCGAAGACTTACTCGTGCATTTAATATTAATATCACTTCATGCACAATACAGTCAATTCAAAGTCAGATATAACTGTCAAAATGAAAATTTGACTCTCAGTGAGCTCATTTCATATTATGTGCAAGAGGAAAATAGATTGAAGCAAGAGAAAACTCAAAGTGCTCATCTAGCTAACGC